AAAAAATAAAAATTAATAAATATATTGATTTATACATTTTTTTTAATACTAATAATGCAATTATCTTCGAAAGTATTAGCCCTACATAATTTGGGATATGGAAATTTTTGTAAAACACCGAAGTAGACTAAGAAAAAATTTTTGGAACACTTGAACTTTGATGGACTTTGGCGAGCCTAAGATGTTGACCAAAAATTGTCACACAGATTGTTTTTAGAGCATAATGAGCCATATTTTTGCTAAATAGCAATCAAAATTCTAAGAAAAAGCGGATTTTCGGCACACGCTAATATACACACACCACAATTTTGTATATCAGCTATTACTTGTATACCAGCACTGCTTCTACTACTACTTTAGCACGTTGCTGCCATATTTTGACTCACTTAAATAAAGAGCTCATTGAAACTTAAAAAAAAATTTAAGTGAGAATTAAATAAAAATTTAAATTAAGTTTGATTTCCACATATATGAATTTGGTGAAATGCAGCCTTAGTCTAAGAGAGCGCCCTAAACCCGTAACCAGCTGTCGACACTTAGCCGGTGTTAGCGCATTAAGCGGAAAGTATTGCACAATTTTTGTGGCAGACAGCTGCTTAAATGATAAATCATCAATACTAGATTGTAAACTAGGTAAGTGAAATGATTTCAATATGTATGAAGCAATTAATTTTTTTTTTTTTTTTTTTTTTTGCAATAATTCACATGTTTACCTTTGCTGCTAAACTGGTTTGCGCTTTCAGTCTCACTGCACAAGCCAGCGGCAAAAGTAAACTTCCGTTTGAAAAACTAGATATTTGTTTGCAATTATACAAATTTTTAGCAAATACTTGCACTTGAATTAGTTATTCCTTCATTTGAGATGCAATCGCCGCCGCGTTCTATCGACTACTTTGTCAACACTTTTTACTGTTTTCGTATTACATACTTAATATTATTCATGAAAATTCAAAGTTCAATTCATTAAGTTATAAATTGAAACTCACCGAGCGATAGCTAACCAGTAGCCGGCGCGACATCGGTAAGAATACTTTAACTAGCGGCGTTAAGTTAATTTGTATTTGACAGCGAAAAAAAAAAATGCCTTCAAACTGCGGTGTTGGTGCAAACCACAAGTTGGTGTTGTTGACGCTTGTGGCGCTTAGTTTACAGTGGCAAGTTTTTGCGGTCGATTTTCGTAAGTCACGCGGTTTTGGGTATTTTGTGAGTTTTTTTGATATTTTTTTATTGAAATTTTTGGAAATTTCGTACCAAAATGTGCATATTAAAATGCCGCTTTTAATGCAAACAAAAAAAAACGAAATAAATATTAACCCTTTGTAGCCCTAGACTAGAAGTTTTCTACCATTTCTAGCTGAAGTGTTTTCCATGAACGGAAACGTCCTGAAGCGACTTGCTTTGTACCGTCCGCTAAACAGAATACAACAAACGTGTACTAGAAAATCAAAAGCATTGTAAAGAGCGCCGAAAGGAACGAAATTAAGTTAACCACGAACTTTTTGTACAATCCGACGAGACACCAACCTACATACAGTGGCGAAAATATAAATAAGGCAGAGACATTTTAACACTCGATTATTCAATGTTTATTATTTTTTTCTTTATGAAAGTGTAGATCCCTATCTAACAATGTTGATAGTCCTATGTCAGAATGAACTCGTGTTTAACGAAGAAATTTTACGTCTTCGGCTACTAAAACTGATAAACGGACTGCAAATACAACACAATCAGGAAGCGATAATTCATGAAGGTGGTGACGGTCACTGCGTGAATATCGTATGTGATTTTTTGTAAGTTTAGATTAATTTTGTCTGCTCGTAGAGATACGTTTTGAGGCATCTGAAAGGTGGCTAAGATTCAAGCAGATAAAACAATGTGAAACCCATGGCAGCAGCCATATGGAAATAGCTTGCATAGCATTGTGTGTAGGCAAAAAATAGCTCTCTGAAGTTGGCAGGACAACTTTTACCCAAAGTAAAAATTCCTATCGGATATCTTGCCGTTAATTATCCATAAATTATCCGTGAAAAGATTAATTTTGCCGCAGAAATATTTAAAAAAATATTCCGTGGAAGTTAGCAGAGCACGCGATATTTTTTAAAATATGGCCGGGGCAAAATTATTATTTTCACGGATAAATAACAGCAAACTATCTGATAGGAATTTTTACTTTGGGAAAAAATTTTATGCTGCCAACTTCAGAGAGGTTTAAAAAAGCTTCCCTTAAAATCAGGGACAAAAAAATAGTCATTATATTTTTAAATTTTAACCAAAAAAATCAACAAGTCGTAATCGTCGTAAAACAATTTTAACTACACTCGTGTATTTGTGTTCGTACATCCCACTGTAATTTACAATGATTTTTATTTTTCGAGTTTAACCAATAAAGATTAAAAGTAATAATTAATATTGGAGTTTTAATTTTTCGCTCAAAGATAATTATTATTACGTGATTTTTATTTTTTTTTTTCGATCACAAATAATGATTATTTTAATTAATAATTATTATTGAGTTTTATTGGTTTTACTTAAGAATAATGATCATTCAAAAAACTTAAAAGCTATACCAGCGTAATTTCTGTTGTATCCTTTTCGGAGGTAGCTAAATACATACATAATAAAATAAATACGTCTCAAAAATTTTCAGGTCAAAATTTCATTAAGTTGCGTCTGTATAGCATTTTCAATTTTATAAATAATTATTATTTTTAAGTGGAAAAATAAAACTCAATCATAATTATTTTCTCAGAGCGAAAAAATAAAAATCACAAAATAATCACTTCCATTGAGCAAAAAAAAATAAAAATCAATAATTATTATTATTTTTGAGCGAAAAAATATAAATCATAAAATAATGATAAAATGCTGATTTAAATTATTTGACTCATAATGATTACCGTCCCTGGTTAAAATCCATTTACCATTCGTAGGCGGCCTAAAACTCCAGAGATCCCTCAATTTTTGTTACTACATTAAGACGCACGCCATAAATTACAGGAGAAGCGTGGCCAAACACCATCTACCAGTCAAGTCGAAAGACTCAATCTTTCTTTCATTCCTCGTCCTCATTTAGTGCAGTTTAAAGATTCCCGTTTCAATATACATAGTTATGCCCCATACAAATCAAATTAACTTTTAGTTATGTCACCTGTAATATTATTCTATTCTTTTACACAGCCGCTCCCATAACAAAATGTCACTTCGGCGACGAAAAATGCCTAATCGAACAGGCACACAAATTGCTGAAGAAAGCTGCTACAGGTATACCGGAGAAGGATATACCCAGTCTAGAGCCGCTTAAGGTGGAAAAAATCGAAATGTTGGGCGATAAGAATAGTGCACTAAAAGTCGACTTAGTGATGAGCGATGTAGAATTCTACAACTACACGAAAGCAAAACTATTATCGATCAAGTAAGTTTTTGAGTGAAATATGCCAGTGTTTACTTATTAAATTTAAGATTTAGTGAATTAAATTTGTAAATCACATGTATGTACTTAAAATTTAATTTCTTGAAGGGGCTTCTCGAAGGACCTTAGCAAGCCAATGAAACTCGTCTCACAAAATATTAATCCACGCATGACCATTAAAGCGAAATACAAAGTCAATGGCAATATATTGGTGTTGCCTATTAAAGGCGAGGGTCTATTAACCATGGTGCTGGATAATGTAAAGTCACGCATTGTGACCACAATGAAGCCGGAGCAGCGTAATGGCAAAACTTATTTAATAGTTGATAATATCAAACTCGAATCTAAACTAGACAAGTGAGTTGAAGCAAATAATTTGTAGATAAATTTTTGTTCGCTAACTAGAATTACTAGATAATAAGCAATTTCCTTGGGAGTATAAAAATTCTCTCACGTTCTCCACTTTCCTCTCTTTCAGTGTCATCACCGATATGACAAACCTCTTCAATGGCGACAAAACGCTCGCGGACAGCATTCTAAAAGTTATGAATGAAAATTGGCGCGTACTCAGCGATGAGCTTACGCCGCGTATCAATGAAGCTTTGGCGCACAAATTTGAAGAGCTGTTACCGAAATTATTTAAGGATATACCCTACGAAGACTACTTTTTGCCAGAATAAATTGGTGCTAGATGAAAAAAAAATTTTAACAAATTTTTTTTTTTTTTTATTCGCTTAAGTAGGTGTGTGTTAAGAAGGAACTGTTGCATAGGGACTTTAAACGTTCTACGAAGCAGACGATACCGTTAACTATTTGCTTAGGGATATTTGGAGAGGAAACAGATCACTAGAGAACTCCTGCCACAAGGAATTTTCTTTTGATATATGTATATAGCATGTATATAGATTTTTGGATCTTAAGAAAGCCCGTGTACTCTGCCCACCACTCTGCAAATTTTGCACATTTTACTACTTAGTTTGATTATTTCCTTAAAAGTTTCCTAAGAAAATCAAGTCTAAGCCTGGGTTTCCTATAGGAAGCAACTTTTGGTGACTTCTTGCCAGACACAGTGAAGCCCATACAGGCGTCGTAGTCGATAAAAAAATTAATAAAAATAAGTAAGTATGATTAGTATGGATAGGAATATGAATACATATATTATGAATCGGAAACAAATTCCGTTCAAGTTATCCCCCAAACCTTAAATTTTTTAAGGATTATGATGCTGTGAAGGCAGTTGCACGTTCCCGTGAGATAATAAAATCACATGAAGAGCCACAATATGCGTAAATAAATGCTGTTACGTGCGTATTTAGGCACACTAAAGACACACGAAATAAATATTTTCACTTTTCCAATTTACGTGCTTCGATTTTAGTACAGATATACTTACGTTATCGCACATCTACACAGGTTTTTCCACTTATGTACATACATATTTATTTATTTATGTATTTAGCAGCGCTTCTAAGCAACAAAATCACTTAGAATTGTTACGGCTTTTAAAGATTTATGCAATTGCTATTAGTTGAACTTTGATTGTTATACTTTGCCTTTTTGGTAAGCGATTTATTTGTTTAAAAACTGTTATTGCTTTAGTACACTTGTGGATGCTATTTGTTATAACTTATGCCACTAAATTTACCTGAATGAACTTGTTGTCTATGGAAATTCCACTGTTTGTGCACTTTTCGATTTCAAAATTTCAAAATTCAATTATGCGGCTCATTTGATCCCTTTGTTACTTCAAATTTTTTGTGTAGCTGATGGTAATTTAGTAAAAACGAGAAGCACTGTTAGAGCATTTGGTGAGGCACACTTCTTTCAGTTTACATATATCCGACGATAGCGCAGAAGGGATTGTACGACATAGATACGCATAACCTAATCATAGAACAGGCGGCTAGAGGAGTTCTGCAGAATTTCGCTGGAAAGGGTTTTGGGAAAGGAAAGATCTTACCCACTAGGAATAAAGAGAAACTGGGATCTTCGCTTCCGAAAGCATTTTTCCAACATTTTAAAGTAAGAATAATGTTGGGCTCATAAGTATGTATTTCCATACGGAAAAAATTATGTTTCGAATATTCCATTTGTTCCACCATAGAATACTTAACACTATTTAGAGATTCTACTAGTGGTACTATCATGTGTAGAAACTTAATTTTTTAATTCAAAAATTAGCATTTAAAATTATTCATGTTTATCTTTTTTAGTCGTGTTTCGAGAGTTCCAAAACATTCCTTGCAAAAAAAATGTTAAATCACTCTTACTAGCACAATATTAAATTACTTGTAAGAAGAAACACAAAATTTAACGTGTTTCTAAAATTGCAAACATTCCTTGTAAAAAACTGAAAAGACGCTTACCAAGACAATGTCAAATTACTTTCAAGGAGAAAAAATTTAACGTGTTTCCAAAATTCCAGACATTCCTTATAAAAAAAGTTATTTAAATAGCACTTGTTCGAAAATTCCAAGCGTTAATGTCGAAGAATTTTGAAAATTCTAGTAATTTCTTATTAAAAAATGTGTGGAAACAAAATTTTTTAATTAAAAAATTTTGTAAAAACTTAAATAACAATTTGTATAAAAACTGAAATCTACTCTTACTAGCACAACAGTACATTATTTTAGGAAGCACAAATTTTGACGTGTTTCGAAAATACCAGCCATTCCCTTTTAAAAAAGTTCTCTAACGTACGCTTGTTCGAAATTTGTATGTAAAACTCAATAAGTTTCGAACATTCCAAGCGTCTCTATAGAATAGTTGTAAAATTTCAGTCACTTCTTATTGTTTCATATTGAAAGATGTCTAAAATCGAATATGTTTCGAAAATTTCAATCATTCCTATCGAATAATTTTAACTCGAAAGGCTAAAAATTTCAATCATTCCTATTATTTTAATTGCATTCTCTTACATACTGAAGAACATTTGCATAATGCAAACTTGCAATTCGCACGCTTCCAGCCACACACTCTCACACTCTCCCACCTACATTTGTAATTATAATACGCTAGTTAAGCACAGCGATTTTCATTACAAATCCACAGATCATTAAGTAGTGTCAACACTGGCAACAACAAATAGCGTACATACATAACTAGTACAGAATTCACAAAAGGTGTCAACAAAAGCATTTATATTATTAGTTAGTTGTTGTCAGACATTGGACACTCCCACGTTAAGCACTCAGGCGTCCATTAGAGTTTCTAGGGTATAGTACTTATGTAGAATGGTTGCCGCCAAATGGCCATAGCCACCATTCGCTGTTGCCACCTGTTGCCTCCCACGCAAAACCCGCGCGTTTCATCCAATGTTCAGCTGGGAAATCTGGAGAATCTGTGCACCTGATGCGGTCGCTTTTCAGCAGCCATGTTTTGTCGTGAAATTAACCCAATTAAATGAAATGCAAATAGGGCGGTTGGTGCGGTGTACAAACACATACAAAATGCACAGTGGTACAGTGGAACGCAAAAGAGTGAGACACTAAAAAATTATTAGAAACTATTTCGTTTTCATAAGCGAAGAAAATCATCAAAATGGTGTATAATTCCATTTCAATATTATTTCATTTTTATCTATAAATATCTCCTGATTCCCTCCAATCTCAAAGCCACTGAGAGCTTAATTTGAAACTATATGGATTTTTATGGTTTTAATTGAAGGAGAAGCTCGCCTATTAATCTGACGATATAAACTCCTTTCAGCTCAGGAATCTTCCACAGATATCTATCGTTAATTACCATAATTCTTCAAAGGGAAGGTAATTCTTCTTCATGCCGGGAAATGAAGAAACGGACCAGTGTGCTAGAAAGGGTTCTGAGACAGGATTAGAGGAAACAGTCTAGATCGCAAAACCTCCGTTGCCAATCCTGCCTTCACAAGTTGAGAAGCTTAGGTAGCTTAGGGAAAACTCCCTTGGAGGGTCTGCCAGGATTCGCCAGAGTAGCAGGTAGATTAAAGAGTTATTTTAGCTGCAGACTCGCACACTGTGTCTTGCATTACATATCTTCACGCCGCTAACCACCCAGACAAATTACCTTCGTTTGTGTCTGCAGTAAGGAAAGCCTTCGACGCGTTAACACCAGTGTAGCATTACCTTGGGCTTGGCTGGGGCTATTGTGTCTTGATTAATTGACTTGTCGCCGACAGTTGGCCACTGCTTTGTGTGAGCAAATGCACATAGATATTCCTACGTACTTATATATATGTAGTATATGCAAAGCTATTTATAAGCATACATACAAACGCTACAGGTAAGCCAATGAGTTCACATTTGTTTTAGTCCATTCTCCCTCTATATAATTCCATCCTTTCGCCCTCAGCTCACTACCCTTCATACACAGCGTTCGATGCTTGCAATTAAATGCAGCCAAGCCAACCGCCACTGGTCACAAAACGTCATTTGAGCGCAAATGACTGCAGTTTGTGTCGCTATTGTTGCAAAACTATTGTGTTTGCTGATGACAGGTCAGGCAGTCAGCAGCTTTAACAGCTGTTGCGCGAATTACTACGGCTCGAATGTCAACGCCCATCGGAGAGCACACGCACACACACACACACACACATATGCGGCTTTGGTTCGCTTGTCCGCTTGGCTAGTCGCCGTGCAATTATTTTCATTACTAACCGCATAATTTGCATATCAAAGTCATGTTAACATAACACCTACATATAGCCACCCCAGTGTGCCGCTCACCTCTCTCATGTGCTCTAGGGTTTATGGTTTATGCGAGCGTTTAATATTAGAACATCGATTTTGATATTACCTCCAACACATGGCACTCAAACTGCACGATGTGGTTGCTGGTATTGTCGTCCCGTCTATGCGAAGTTCAATGGCTAGCTGAACATCCAACTGATTGGCTTATCGGTTGATAGTGGATTTGCTTAAATTTTGTTTTAGTGCTTGTTGACCATTCGTTGCTGTTGTGCCAGCCAAGTTCAAAGTTTACGGCCATGGTTACGTTTACGGCTGAATGGCATGGCAGACTAATTGGAACATCATGTTTTGCAGTTATATGTATACGTTACTGCTCTAGAGTTTTCAGTTTGTTAGTTATTTCCCACTACCCTTCTATCGACTCTATGGGTCAGGATACTGGTTTAACTTACCCAGATTCTTCATCTGTCTTGTTTGCAACTGCATTTCAGTTTTCTAGGGATTGAACCATATTTTCAGGAGTTGTGTCAACTTTAAGGACATCTCTTACATAAATCCGCTCTCTGGCGATCTGTTACATTAGTAGAATATATGTTCGACGTCTTCGGTAACGCTTCCAGCGCAGGAATCACATGTATTAGTGTCTTTCAGCTTGAAGCGTGTGAGGTTAGCCTTAAAGCAGGCGTGACCTGTAAGCAACTGAGAAGCCTTTATCCATGGTTTGAGTTTTGGTATTAATCGGTGGGTCCAACGTCCATTGCTACTTGCATCCCATCGCCTACACCAGTTTTGCAGAGTATCTTTTCTTGCAATTTTCTCTTTCAGAGCTAGTGGTAGTTCAACCGGTACCTCAAAATTGGTCTCCTTCGCCAAAAGGTCCATTGGGTGTGGACCTGCGACATTGTTCGAAATGCACAGCAAACCCTTAGAGCGAAAATTCTGTATATAGATGCCAGGGCACGTCTGTAGGGTTTAGTTTCGAGCGCATTTGCCCAAACTTGCGTACCATATAGGGATACCGACTTCAGTACTCCCGGCCAAAAAT